AAATCTACGTGAAATTTCGTTTAGGGAGTTTGAAAATTTGGTTAAGGATGAGAATGATGTGACTGAAGAGGTTTTGGTTAGAGATGTGTTGTATGCCTGTCAAGGGATCGATGGGAAGTATGTGAAATTTTATAGTAATTTGGATGGTTACGCTTATCATATTTAGTTAAGGTACCTAGAGCTACTCGAACTATTGTTCGGAAGCTTTGTGAACTAGGGTGGTTGTTTAGGAAAGTTAAAGGGTATATTTCTGAGAATATGAACAGTTTTCCTGCTGAAGATGTGGGGACTGTGGGCCAGGCATTTTGTGCTGCTTTGCAGGATGAGTTATCCGAGTATTATAAGTTATTGGCCGTGCTAGAGGCTCAGTCAATGAACCCGATTCCATTGGTTTCAGAGAAAGCAAGTCCAGGTAATTATTTGTCCTTGAGGAGATTGTCGGTTTGGTTTTCTGAGCCAATGGTGAAAATGAGATTAATGGCAGTGTTGGTTGATAAGTGTAAAGCTTTGAGGGGTGGGGCTATGGCTGGTGCTATTCATCTGCATGCACAGCATGGTGATCCTATAGTTCATGACTTTATGAGGCGATTGCTTAGGAGGGTTTGCTCTCCGCTTTTTGAAATGGTGAGGAGTTGGGTCTTGGAAGGGGTATTGGAGGATATTTTTGCTGAGTTCTTTATTGTGGGGCAACCAGTAAAAGCTGAATCCCTTTGGAGAGAAGGTTACCGGCTGCATGCTGGAATGCTGCCTTTGTTCATTTCACAGTCTATTGCTCAATGTATACAGAGGACTGGGAAGTCTATTAATTTTCTTCGTTTCTGTTGTGATGACCGTGGTTGGGCTGATGCAGCAACTGAGGCTGTAGCTGCGGCTGGAGTGACAACAAGAAGAGGGGCTCTTGGATATGGGGAAACTGATGCACTTGAATCTCTAGTCATAGAAGCAGCTGAGAGAATTGATAAGCATTTGTTGGATGTTATATACAAGAGGTACAAGTTCAAAGAACACTGTCTTGCAATCAAGCGATATCTGCTGCTTGGACAGGGTGATTTTGTTCAGTACCTCATGGATATTGTTGGACCAGAGCTTTCAGAGCCTGCTAATACTATTAGTTCCTTTAAGTTGGCTGGATTACTGGAAAGTGCTATTCGGTCATCCAATGCTCAATATGATGATCCTGACATACTAGATCGATTGAGGGTTAAGATGATGCCACATGGCACTGGTGACCGTGGATGGGATGTATTCTCATTGGAATATGATGCTAGGGTTCCACTAGATACGGTGTTTACTGAATCTGTCATGACGAGGTATTTAAGAATTTTTAATTTTCTGTGGAAGCTTAGACGGGTGGAGCATGCAGTCATTGGTGCTTGGAAGACAATGAAACCCAATTGTATTACTTCACATGTATACACAAAGCTGCAGCGAGCCGTAAAAATGCAATTTCTTTCAACATTGAGGCGATGCCAGGTTCTTTGGGATGAGATGAATCATTTTGTTACAAACTTGCAGTACTACATCATGTTTGAAGTCTTGGAGGTGTCGTGGTCCAATTTTTCCAATGAAATGGAAGTAGCCAAAGATCTTGATGATCTACTTGCAGCACATGAGAAGTACCTCCACTCGATTGTAGAAAAATCACTCTTAGTTGAAAGATCCCAAACCCTTTACAAGTCACTGTTTGTCCTTTTTGACCTTATAATGCAATTTAGAAGCCATGCAGACCGGTTATATGAAGGAATTCATGAGTTACAAGCAAGGTATGTACTGACATTATGTTATTTGCATGTATTTTGTTAAATGTTGTGTTCTGTTAAGATGTTCCCTCACGGTTGCTTTTTACGTTGTATAGAACTGTGGAATCCTCTTCAAACTCTCAAGACAAAAACAAACCAAGGAAAACCAAGGATAAGTCTCCAGAACCAGGGTCTTGGGTTAGTGAAGGCAGGAAAGCTCTAACTCAACGTGCTAGTGAATTCCTTCAAAATATGGGGCAAGATCTAGGTGCATTAGCTACAGAGTATAAATCATTGCTTGAGGGTTTCTTAGCTCTGTTGCCTGTTCAGCAACATATAGATTTGAAATTCCTACTCTTTCGGTTAGATTTCACAGAATTTTATACTCGACAGCATGCTAACGTATAAAAGTCATCTATATGTGTGTTTAAGGAATTTCTACTCATATTTGAGATGTCGTGCTTCAGTTCACTAATGTCTTTTTTCACTATGCTGCCACTTGAATGAACAATCTCCTGATGACCTGGTGAACATCTAGTCTGACCAATTCGCATAACATCACTTGATTTAGGTGAGATGAGTTGTATTTCACTTAAATGTTCCTTTTTACCACAGGTATCTGACACATTATCTTAAATTTCAGATGTTATGCTTTCGGATGGCATGTTTGGCACGTTGCAGTTGACTTGAAGGTATTCTTATGATTTTGTTTGTGGTATTGAATGTAGTAGTGTACAAGTTTTGGATCTGATAGTCCAATGTTGTTGGTGTTCTCTGACAGCTCTTACAACTGATGTGTCCAAAGGTTGTATATATGTATCATATTTTTCTATTTGTTAATCAATGAGCAAGTCATGCTGCATGTTTGATTTTCATCTCTTTATGTTGACTTAACTATTCCTTGTGCTATACCTTTGGGCACTTTATTATGGCTTTTATTCGATTTTTTATGCAAAAGCCTTGTCTTTTGTATTGGTTGTAAGTTTAGCCCGCAATGCAGTGTGGTGACTGTTTCTCTATGCATGTGAACATGGAAGATTTACCATTTCCCATAATTTTCTACGGCTCTATGCATGCGAACAAGGAAGATTTACTCTCTTTTTTTCATACCAGTGTTTAAAAAGTTGCGCTTGAGGTGCGCCTAGGCACAAGGCGATGAGCCCAAAGCGCTTAATTGAGTCTAGGCGAGGCGACTTCAATAAGCCTTTCCATTTATCAACATACCCAACACATGGAAGTAGAACATGGAGGAAGCAAACATTCCCAAAATAGGACAGAAAATACCCAACACATGAAAGTAGAACAGAACTAAGATGGTGGCCAAGGAATATGAAACACTATCTAGGGCATACATTACCATTAAAATCCGAAATAGGAAGATAGTGGTTTTGTTTTTAACCAGAAAGCTTACAAAACCACTTATCTTAGGCACTATTATTTTCTCTTACATTATATTATCCCTAAGATAAGGAATTTTGTTTATATGGGTCTATTATTATATTTTTAAATAAATAAATAATATGTAAATTTATGAAGTATTAATTTAATGTGGAGATGATATGAAGTAAATTTGACAGAGGAAGATGATTACATATGATTATCATATAGCTAACTTTGTCTATTTATAGTGTATATGCTTCCAATTGCATGATAAAATGTGATATATGTTTTTTGATTGGACTGTTAAGGGTAATTAATGAAGTTGGGAGTTTTTGTTGAACTATTATATGATTTGATGGTCTATTTTAGTAAGTTATATATGCATATTAATAAATAAATCTTTAACTTCAAAAAGTGTCTCATTTTAATAAGGTGTACGCCTCATGCCTGTGCCTGTGCTCTGCTTCTAGGTTATAGGACCCTTGTTGTCTTAGGGTGCCTTGCACCATTTTTTACATTGTTAGACCATAAACCTACTTGAAAATGAACTTCTAATATGTGACATTTCTCATTGCCATTACTAGAGTGATTGTTTTCATTTCATTTTTTTTTTTGCATGAAATAGGGGTTAGTAAGTACTATAATTTTGTGATCAGATTTTATCATGTTGGTATCATATTAATAGAGATAAACATATGCTTCTTTTCATTATTTGAAGATATGTTTTCAATGAAGTTTTGGATTATTCGTATAATGCTCGAGTTCTCAGACATGGTAATATATATATTGATTGATATATATTAGGGTTAAGGTTCACTTAAACAATGTAAAACATGTTTAGTTTTATGCAGATTTAAGATTATTGAATTAGTAAAGATAAAAAGTTGAGATTAAATTATTATTTTTCTTCGGTTAATATATTCTTATTTCTTAACGTTAATTTCAACTGTTTATTTTCTCCCCATAAGATTGTTTTAAGTTTATTATTGTTAGGGTAAATTATAGCATTGATTATTTTTGTTTAAGCTTTGTATAATTTTTTTTACTGAATTTGAAAAGTATAATATTTAATCATTTTCTTTTTTATTTAATTAAAATGTGGACATTGAGGAGTAATTGGGGTTAGATCTTTAACGAGTTAATGACATGATACAAGAAATATATATAATTAAAAATAATAATACAAAATTAGTCACTAATGTTTGAGTACATTTTCTTTTTTCTCATAGAAGTTTAAAAAGTAACAAATTGATCACTAAAACATTAAATATTTTTTTAAATAATGATTTTATTTCAATTTACTCTAAAATCATTCTAATTTTAATTTTTTTTCTAATCATCCCATCACCTCCTTTATATTCGCGCGAACCAAACCTCATGTAACACCAACCCAAGGCGATTTGGTTACACAATGAAATAGTTGCCTTGATTAACTCTTATGGTTGGGTTGAGTTTCGGTCAATCCAACCCGACAAAATTTTTTTACATCTTTCATCTAATTGGATTCGACCCGACCTGAATATCACCTTTAAAAAAATAACTAAAAACTCAATTTGATCGGATTTGAACCTGTTAAATTTAGATCTCATATCTATCCCTATTATCGTTATTTTATATGACGTGACATATCTCACATTATTACTTTAGTTAACGTGAGATATTTCACGTTAAAAATTAAACACGTGTAAAAATACCTTTAAAATGCTATTAAACTTTTAAGTTTTTCCAATAGTGATATAAAAAAAATGGGAACCCTAAAATAGAGGACTTCCTCGTTTCATTTAGGAGAAGTGTTGTTCTAGATCCTTCCACCACCAAAATAGCTTACAATATCCATACCCACATTCTAGACTTTTCCACCTCCACGAACCTTCCAGGCAGACCTTCTCGTTTTATATTCCTCCCCTTGGATCATCGCCTCCTTATTGTCTCTCAACCTCTACGAAACGCTCATCTCAATTTATTCTTTTGTTCCCATCAATGGCGAAGTACGGCGAAGGCGACAAGAGATGGATCGTGGAGGAGAGAGCCGACGGTGCCAACGTCCACAACTGGCACTGGGCAGAAACCGATTGCCTCCCCTGGTCCAAAACTTTCTTCACCAAATCGCTCTCCGATCTCCGCATCCTCACCGGCGAGGGCAACCTCTACATCAGGACCAAGAACGTCGACAAGGTCGACGGCGAAGCTTATGTCAATATTCGCAAGGGTAAGATCATTCCCGGATACGAGATCAGTTTGAGTTTGTCTTGGGAAGGCGAAGCCAAAGATGGGGAAGGGAAGACCTTGTTGACAGCCGAAGGTAATGTTGAGATTCCGTATATTGCCGATGAGAACGCCGACGAGGATCCGGAAGTTAGGGTTACGGTTAAAGAAGAAGGGTCCATTGGTAAAACGTTGAAGGAAGCGATGTTGGCTAAAGGGAAGCCTTTGGTTTTGGAGAAAGTGAGGGATTATGTTAAGGCTATGGCGAGAGGTGGACCTGTTAAAGATGAATTGGAAGCTAAGAAATTGGCTCCAAAAAGTAATAGTAGTAGTAACAGTAGTTCGGGTGTGGTGTCTAAGGAGAAAGTTGGGGTGGAGAAGGAAGCGAAAAAGGAAGCGAAGAAGGAAGGGAAGAAAGGGTTTAAGACGATTACGATGTCGGAGAAGTTTAATTGTAGAGCTAAGGATATGTTTGAGATTTTGATGGATGAGAATAGATGGAAAGGGTTTACTCAGAGTAATGCTAGGATAAGCAAAGAAGTTGGCGGCCAATTCAGTATTTTTGATGGATCGGTTACTGGTGTTAACTTGGAGTTGCAAGAAGGGAAGTTGATTGCTCAGAGATGGAGATTTGGGAGTTGGCCGGACGGTGTTGATTCTACGGTATGCTCAATGGGATTTAGATTGCAGTTGGGGCCATGTTTTCGGCTGTGTTATGTTTATTGCAATTGTGTGTTGTGTTTATTGCAATTGTGACAATAATGGGCTGTCGCAGTTGCCGCAATAGCGGTCGCTGGTAGCACCTTTACCGCTATTGGAGATTTAAATAGCCGTCTGAGATTGCAATATAGTGGAAGCGGTGCTGCCCGTGACTGTTTTGTATGACTGCAATGCCCGCAATCGTGACAAATGAGACAGTAACTGCAATTTGAATCCCTGGCTTCTGTTTTTTAAATCTTTGCTCAATGGTTTCCACTTTTGACCGTATATTAAGTTTTTTGGAATACATTGGGGGTTTAACGATGCCTTTTCTTTTATGGGTTGTTGTTGTTGTTGTTGCAGGTAAGACTTGTTTTCGATGAGCCTGAGCCTGGGGTTACTATAATCAAACTCACGCATTCAGATGTTCCTGAGGAGGATAGGTTGGTTTTTATTTGTTTTATAGTCTGTTAAGGCTAATTTGTTATAGTTAGAATAGGGCTATTGATCTCGTTTCTGTGTTGATTTGTGATGCAGATATGGGAATGCAACTGTGGTGGAGAACACCGAGAGAGGATGGAGGGACCTTATTTTCAATAAGATACGAGCAGTATTTGGTTTCGGAATATGATTTATTTTATCCCTAAAGCAGGAAATGTTCTTTTTTCTCGGTTTAGAATCAATAGACCTTTATGAAATATTCTTTCAGCTATTATTAATATGACTGTGCAAGTTCTATCTTGGTGTACTGGTTCATTTTTTTAAAAGTTGAAACTTGTACCAAGTGTCATTGCTGTCTTGTTTGCCAATATCCAAACTATATCTTTGAACTAATGATAATGATGAAAATGTTGCCTTGATTTATATAACTTGTGTACGTGTTGTAGTTATGATCTTACGTAGAGCGAAGATTGTATTGAGTTTCTAGTTTATTTCTCTGCCATTTTTGCGTATTGACCTTGATGATACTGAAGAAAAAAGGTTAAATTGAATTGGTGTCTTTCTTCTGTCTGAAGCATGCGTGCTTTCTGCAATTGGTCTTTAAGAATGATTGAGCCCTCAAGGGAAAAGTTAAGTTTGTGGTTTGCTTCATTATGTTGTCCATGTTTTCACGAGAGGAGAAGAGATTTGTTGCAATTTTATCTGCATGGTTTGAATCGTGGTTGATTTGCTGCTACTGATTGCAATTTGGTTTCAAGCTAATAATATTCCGGTTATGTATGTCTCGGATAATCCATTGCTGTGGAAGGATTTCAATTGGCTTACATAATATATGGTACTTGGACCATGATCTTGTTATTCTCTGAGGTTGATTCATTAGAGAATTTTAGTGGGAGCATGATCTGGTTTCTGTTGTTGAAGTGGGCATGATAATCTAATCTAGCATGTCGATATGGCATTTTTTGTGGTATTAAACAAATTTCTAGTTCACTTTGGAATATGTATTGCTCAAAGGGAGGCACTTTGATTTTGTGCCAACAGTGTTGGCCCTCGAAAGGACATGAGGAAGCCTCTTTGGCCTTATACTCAAATGGAGTGTCCAATCACTGGGTTAGTAGATGAGTAATAAGGTTCCACTTAATGGGGGTTCGTTTTGGTTGTGTAAGTGTTGATACTCAATTTGTAGCATGTATTTGGTGGTGGTTTTGGCCTATGTACACATCCCCTTTGCTAATGTCTTATAATAGTAGTTAGAGAGAGGAGTTTCATGTAGTAGGATTAAGATGTTTAGTAGCCAGATGTTCATGTCGAAATCCAATATCTTTCATGTAGTAGGATTATGATCTTAAAATCTAAAAAGTCGACAACATATTAACATTCAGTTTAGATTGTCATTAATTTTTATTAAAAAAGATGAGTTTGGGACATAACGAATAGTCGAATGATCATTTGTAACTTTCAAATAAAGTAATATTCTATAATTGAGAGATTATTTTATAACTTTCAATAATCGTAAAACTTAACAAAACAATTTTTCATGGATTATTTGTGTACATTTTAGTTTTCTCAAGAAACATACTTCATATCCTCTTCTTTGAATATCAGCAGGGTTTAAGTTTGCATATGAGCTGGCAAGGACGAAATGTTTCACTTAGAAAAGCTTGCAAATTGATATGCTTATGGGGATTCCTAAAATGGGGCTTCAATTTTTTGTGATTCCTGGTCCTATATTTATCATTACCTTAATTCTCCGTTTCATCTATTTACTATTTAATAGTATATATTTAGAAACAAATTTAAACAGCATCGTTGTTATTATTAGAGGTTCGAGTCTGACTATTGTTTACAAGATATTTGAGTGTTTATTGTTAAATAATTAAAAATAACTTAAAATAAATTTACTTTATAATCGTCTACGACATCCTAAATAAGTCTAGAATTAATCAGTTGGACCACATAGAGCAAAGGCCGGACACTCGTTTTACTATTTTCTACCGTTCACTTTTAAGAGAAATTTTTTGGGTAAAGTATACAAATGGTCACCCGATTATATAAAGTTATAAAATGATCCTCTGACTATAGGGTATTGCTTTGTTGAGTCCCTCAACTGTTACAAGTTACAAAATGGTCATCTGACTATTCATTATGTTCCAAACTCGTCCTTTTTTCGTTAAAAATTTGACGGCAGTCTGAGCCGGACGTTAACATGCTAATTGAAATACGATAAAAACTGACCTCATAATCTCAAATGACTACCATATCTCAATCGGCATATTAACGTTTAACTCAGATGAATGTTAATTTTTTAACGAAAAAGGACGAGTTAGGAACATAATGAATAGTCTGGTGATTATTTTGTAACTATTAATAGTCGAGGAATTCAACAAAGCAATACCCTATAGTAGAAGGATTATTTTATAACTTTTAATAGTCGAGTGACTTAATAGATCGGCATGCTATAGTCGGGAAATCATTTGTATACTTTACCAAAATTTTTAAAGAGATCCTCTTTACGTTAAAGTAAATAATAAATATAATCACGCACGATAGATAAAATAATTTCTTAAAAATTTATATAGATTCAATTTCATTACCCAAACCATTATAGATTACAATAAGGCCACCTTTCTTCCAAAATTTTCTTCCTTCTTCTCCCCCAGTCAACACAAAATCTAAAAACTCAAATCTCGTGCCTTCAAATCATCGTTGACACAATTTTTTTTTAAAATCCAAGTCAAAAAATAAAATAAAAATCCACCAACCTTTGAAATATTTACAAAATTTGAATTAAAAATATCACAATCAATGGCTTTCATGCATTTGTAGGGGAGAGAAATGGGTATTCTCCGGTTTGACGTCGGTGGTATTGCTGCTACCGGAGGCGGCGGCGACACGCTCACATGAAGGACACATGGTGAGGGTGGTGGCCGGTAACTGCGTGTAAAATGGTTGACTCGATTTCAGGGCTCTTAATTCCTGCAGTTCCTTTTGTAATCTTCTATTTTCTTCTGCTAATGTCTCGCAACATCGCTTTAGATACTCACAATCTACCTCTGTTTTCTTCAGTTTGGTCCTGTATAAATTTTAAGGCATAATATCAAATTTAGTCCACAATGTTTATCGAAATGATCATGTTGAATTTTGTTTTGAGAATTTTGACCCTCAATGTTTAATTTTTAACACGAAAAGGCCTCTAATATTTGATGACCTTTTATTTAAATTTTTTTTTTATCTCATCATTTCATTTTAGGATAAAAGTCCCATATTTTAGACCGTTAATCATTCCATACCTTTATGCCTCAAAATGAAATGTTTAAGAGTCAAAATGCTTCAAAAAAAAGAATAGAAACTTAAATAACTATTTTGATAAGTATTAGGGGCTAAGTTTAACATTATACCATTTTTTTGATTAAAAAATTATTCGAAGAAAATATTTGGTTTAGGTTAAATTATACCTTGACCACTTAACTTTTTAGTCCTATTACTTTTACCACTGATATTTTAATTTTATATATCAAACCACCTAGCTATTTAATTGTAGTCAATCAAGCCACTAGTCGTTAACATTTAACTGTCACATCAACATTTCCGTCGACTGTTAACAGCTAGTGGCTTGATTGACTATAATTAAATAGCTAAGTGGTTTAATTGACAAAATAAAAAGATTTGTGGTAAAAATAAAAGGAGTAAATAGTTAAGTGATCAATGAAATAATTTACCCTTTATTTTATTAAAATGAAAAGTACCTTGCTCTTTGTTCTGAAACCATAGTTCAATGAGATAAAAAATAAAGTTATTAAACTCTAGGTATTGTTTTAAAAAAATTGGAGGTTTAAGAACTAAAACAGATTAAAATTAATAATTTAGATACTGAAAGTATAATTTACCCAAAAAGTTGCAAGAAGAAAATATTTATTTTGTTAAAAGGAAATGTACCTTGCTCTTCTGTTCTGAAACCAGACTTCAATTTGGCGGGGACGAAGATTTAATTGCTTTGCCAGTGCAAGTTTTTTGCTTCTGGATCAATGTTTTAAAAAGGAAATATAAATGTTAAATAGAGAGGTTAAAGAAGGGTAAACTAAGTATTTAGTACCTAAATTATCAGTTTTTATCTGCTTTCAATTTTTCAAAACCACACCTAACATTTAGTTTTCATTTTATTTTTAGTAACCCGTACCTAAATTATCAATTTTGGTCCGTTTTAGTAACTAAGGTTTTAAATTTTGTTTTTGAAAGCTTAAATTTAAATTTTGAACGGGATACTAAAACGAAATTAAAACCTAAAGTTTTTAAAGGCATGGTTTTAAAATGAAACAAAAACTAAACTTTAAGTATGATTTTAAAAAATTAAAAGTCTAGTTATTAAAACGAACCAAAATTGATAGTTTCAAACCGACAAAGAAATAATTAAGGTTGGATTCTTATATGTTTTGGCTTACAGGGTTGAGTGTGCTGTGCTCTTTGAAGCTTTCTTCAAGAAAAGCGGATTGTTCTTTGGAAAGCCTGAGTTTCTTCCGAGTTGACACGTTCTCGTCATTATCACTGCCTCTCCTGTTCACTCTTTGATCAGTTTCAATCATTTCCGGTTCCAGCTCTCTCTTGCTTCTCCTGCTCATCCCAAAAGCCATCTGAAATGAAGACACCGCGCCGTTGGGCTCCTCCGTCGCCGCTAACCACCCTCTTCCAGGGCGGAGCTGGGGCCGAGGAGCCGGAGAGAAAGGTAGAAGATCGAGCTGACGAGGCGGATCTGAAGAAACCCTTTTCTCATTTCCTCCGTCCACGGCATCCCCTTGACGGAGGAGCCCCATGCAAAACCCTAGGTCCTTGATTGATAATTTCTGGGTTTCGCCGATAAAAGAGAATGGCTTTGGGGGATCGCCCAAGCTCAAAGCTAACTCCATCAAAGAAGAAGGGTTTGATTTGAAGAGGAAACAAAACCCTATCCGATCTCCTTTAATGGAAACACACGTGAATCTATATAAATATACACGAGACGATACACAAGAAAGGAGGAGAAAGAGAGTTTTTCAAACCAATAAATGCAGCGTAGGATCTTTTATTGCAGGGTAAAGTACACAAATGAGTCCCCTGACTATTGAGTATTACTTTAATAAGTCCTTTGACTATTAAAAGTTACAAAATGGTCACTTTGATTATTCTTCAAGTTCCAAACTCGTCTTTTTTTGTTAAAAAATTAGTGGTTATCTA